TAGTAGTAGCAGCAGCAGCAGGAGAAAAACTAGTTTGCTTCTGATATGGAGGTAGAAACAAAAGGTGAACTAGTGAGAAATAAGGGCAGCAGTGGCAATAGGAGGGTGTTGCTGCTTCTTAGCAGCAGTAGCGGTGGTAATAGCTGCTACCAGTACGACCTGTAGTAGAGCTACTCACATGCATCCTTGTGCTTGCACTTCCGGAATCAGCTGAGGCGAACTTCCAGCTGGCCGGACGGCCTAGCGCAAAAGTCTTTGTTTGCTGCCGGTCTTCAGTGTGACATATGCCAGCCCTTCCTCCGGGGTTTGGATTAGCTTGGCAAGTGAGCGTGCAATGGCAACATAGGTTCGGCATGATTGTGAGTGGTTTTGCTGCATAAAACGGACCGATGCCAGGGTGCTGAAAATTGCCCAGCACATTTTCCAAAATAGATGGAGCATGCATTGAACCTGTAGTGTGTATGCTTAAACGTATATGTGTGTCTGATCATATGCCTCTACACGCAAAGTTATAGGCCGAAGACCCAACTCACCGCATATGTTTTTTCCTCACATAACGGGTCAAGCTACACATGAATTGCAGATTCGATTGCATGCTTGAACTCTGCCTCGTAGCCTCCATCTTGTCATTACAACACATATCTACATGTAGGTCTATCTATACGGACCAGGTATTTCAGCAGAGCACGTAAGGATGCCCAAAAGTTCAAAGCAACACTTTGTCAAACATGCCTCCTGCGCTGTGTCGAACATGCGTTTGAGAGTTTGCATGTGGTCTGTGTATATAGGTAGACAGGTCGACGGACTGACTCGTAGAGTGTATGGGCAGGTAGAATGCTCTATTATCTATACCGATCTGATGGCCTGCTTATCGGTGGACAACTAAGCAGATAGTTACAAAGTCAAAAAGATGTGTAGAGAGTTAAAGTCTGAGGTGGGTTGGCGTATCTTCTGCAACAGATACATAGACGCCTACATCCATACATACACACTTACAGACATGCGTACATACATGCCTACATGCATACCTAAATACATACATACATACATACATACATACATATCTACATATCTACATATCTACATATCTACATATCTACATATCTACATATCTACATACAAACATGCACACATACATACATGTATACACGCATACCTACATACTTACGTGCATAGCTCAATACCTACATTTCTGCAGTGCCCATATACCCAATACATGCCTCCGTACATACCTACGTACATACCCAACTACCCACATGCCTGCATGCATGCATGCATGCTTGCATGCATGCATGCCTCCACACATACACGTATGCACACGCACACACACATATATATATATATATACACACACATATATATATATATATGGTAGCCC